CGCACAGCACCTTCCATGGCCCATCTTCACCGGTGACATCAAACACGTGTGCAAAGCTTATTCCACACACAGCACCTTCCATGGACCATCTTCAAATAAGCACTTAGAAGCTCATCAGAAGACCAAGTATCACTGGATGGAAGCAGCCCCTGGACAAGAAAGCATCCCTGGGTGTCCCAGGACCACACAGTTCTCTGGTTCTGGTGGTGCCACTACAGACTGTCACCAAAGGGCCAGATCCTCCACTTAGCTGTAAAATGGGGACACTAATGCCTCCTCTGAGCCTTGAGTCAACCCTGCAGGATGGTTCCAGCAAAGGCCGTCCTGCCTGCTTCCCCGTGCCAGCAGGACTCTCTGGCAGCCCTATGGTATATCTTAAGCTGTTTCTTTAGGAAAGGAAATGCCATGCCACCCTAGGGCTGGGCACCGCCTAGATGCTCAGTAAACACTTCCTAAAGCAGGGGTCTACCCTCGGTTCCTTAGTCCCCGTCTGTGAGACAGCTGGCCAGGGGGAGAGGCACAAATGTGCCAGCCAGTGTCATTTGGCATCAGAAAAACAAGCTAGAAGCTTGGATCAAATTTTATTCAAATTAGTGCGAGAGAGAGACCAAATCCAGACACTCCCTAGAGGGACATGTAGGACAGAGCCAAAGCATGAGCACATAGGCCTCACAGGCAGGGTGGGAGGGGCCAGATGGAATGCAGCATCAGGATGGAGCCACAGCAGCTGGTATTTGGGGATACAGGTACTCTGGACCTGGCTGTAGTCCAGGTAGAAACTGCCAACTCCTAAGCATATTCCTAAGGGTGGCTAGTAACTTGAAGCATCCAGTAAATGACACAACTAAACTGACTCGTGGACTGGCGACCCACCTCCAGACAGGTTCATGCTGACTTCCTGAGACTTTGGGGACCACGCACCTGTACTTGCCTTGGGGAGCCCAGCACTACACAGTAGAGAGCTGTAGTTCTATGGACATAACGTACATTAGGGGGTTTCTGCTTTGTTGTTCTGATGGCCACCAGCCTCCCCATCATAGCTGCCTCTATGC